ACATAACTCATGGACGAGACCACCAAAATGATCGAAGAAACAATGGCATGCAAGTAGGCTTCTCTTACAGTTGGCCTTTATTTCATTTCATTGATTTATAACTTTAAAATAATTGTGATTTAAACACTCCAATATCTCTATAGTCTAGACAGTTGCTCAATGAAATTCAGCTTTTCACACCTGAGAAAATCAAAACAATCTTTCCCAATCTTTCAACAATATCTGTCAGCTGCTTTTAAACATAATCTGCTAAACATCCTGTCTATGTAACAGATGCTCACTTGCAGATGAGAATTTATTACATGCATGCAGATTCCACAATTAACTTTCCAAGACGACTGTTGCGATTTATATAGCAGTAAAGGGCGCCACCAAGCGAGCCTGCCGCAAACTGATTAAGCAGCCGCGGGGAAATGAAGAGTGTGGGGCTGGCTATGGACGGTGAGCAACAATTTCCTGTTCTAACAACCTATATCCATGATTACTCCTAGTTATTACATCCGTGATTATTCCCATTGTTAATACCCAGTTATTGTTTATACCATTATGAATACATTAGTGTTCTAACTTTCTGTGTTTGAGCTGAGCCCTTCCAATCATACACGTCCCGTATCGCATGTAGGACTGTCCACTTTTGCACACAGGACGTTAGTGGAGTATTCCTGTCCCTTTAATACTTAATGATTATCAATGCTCTTATATTTTCCAGAACTAAATCTCTAATGGTCAGAGATCTTCCATTGATCACCGATCACTGCATCCTAACTGAAAGTCTCTCCATCGGCCCTAGGTTATTTTGTTCCCACCAATTTCCATGAATACCATCATATGAATAAATTGAATAAATGGTGCCCGTGCTCACCGAACACACACCAAAGGACTCCCCACGTCCTCATTTCTCCTTTACAATGACCTTACACTGACCCCCCAGATTTGGACTATCAAAAGAAGTCCTCTAATTCCTTTAGCTGGAAAATATTGCTCATGCAAGTAGTCAGATTGGAATCAGTCTGGAAAAATTGTATTCATGTTTTTGTCCACTATTATTTTCACACAATAAAAGCAAGTAAGCTTTATTCCTGTGTCTGGCTGAATCCACTTACAGCCTGAACTGAGATTAAAGTGTTGATCAATTCTCATACATTTTAAAACAGTAAAGCACAGGATTCATTGATACTGTCATGTCTGCTGAGTCTGCTGATAACTTTGTCCAATTAACATCCGCCATCACCATCTGGACAGAAAGGACTTTTGAACGGCTCTCATTGGCTGATACATGCTGTGCATGTATCATACATTCATAAGGAGTACACAACGGTATAGAAAGGGTGATTTACAGACTTCCAGAAACCCTACAGCTCATTTAGGTTGTCCAGTGCACATACATGTCCTCAGCCATTCTCAACAGAACAAGAAATATGACTGCTTAGAACTGAAGCAATGGCTCCATATGATAATGGATGAGTTGCTGCTCATTGCAACAAAAATCATCTTTTCAAAACTTCAAGACTCAAGGAAAAAGAAGTTGTGTAAGACTGCTCTAACAATTCCACAATTTATTTCAATTAAATAAATATGCATGCTGTAATGCATACATTCAACACGTCTATTATTCTGCTGTAGTCTGAGTTCTTCAGTGAAACTGAGTGATCCTGCTGGATATAATGGACTTCACCTCCAGTTTGAAGTAGTTCTAAAATGGTCAATACACAACCACATTTTCAATATACAATGCACATGCATCAATTAACTTCTATAGTAATAATAACAGACTACAGTTTCTTGAACTACATTCATCCTACAGTACCATCGGCCAAGCTCCCCTGCCTTCATCTCTCAGTCCAACTGTACACGCTTGCACACTGTACCATCACAGGTGTCAGATCAGCTACTGGCTCAAATCTCTGCAACTGTGTTGAAAATACTGCCGAGGCTTGCTGCACTTCATTTGATCAGTCAGAGTGGTGGCCCGACATGAGACCATCTAGAACAGGCGAAGTCCATGCTTGCAGTTCAGAAGTAGAATAAATGAGTGAGGTGCCAGTTACCGGGCACTTGAACATTTTCCCTGGGCAGTGTCCACTGATGAATATTTGTGTAATATATCACAATTTACTGACACATTTATAAGCAACTGAGTAATAATCGGCAGTCCATCATTCCATAGGAAAGAGAGGTGAGAGGGTTTAACACCTTCGCACTTTCCTGCCGCCACAGGACTTACTCCCTCCTAGCCTTGCACAGTAAAAAAGCAGACCCGCAACGTCGTGCCCCTATCGTCAAGTCTCTCTGGGCCTGCACACCCTGATCCAGGGATACACTGAAGTGTAACAGAACTGGGGAGTGTACAAGCTGCCCCGCAGTTGCTGCTAACTGGCCTGTTGTGCCACCCGTTGACCACAGACAAGGTTCCTCCGAGTGCCACTGAGCTGAGTTGATCGTCAATGACAATAACTTTCAAGCGCTTGATTCAGGATCCATCAGCCTGCTGCCACTGGCTTCACTGTAACCCTGGCACAGGGCCCTTACCGGGTACTGTCAGCCGGAGCTAGCCGAGCCTGGGACTACATGATTATGGGCAGGGTCGCCACTCCCTGAGGTGCCAAAACACCCCGTGCACCCCAAAGCAACTGAGTACTCAATGTGGGAATAGTTACAATTGAAAAATTCTTTATTTCAATCTTTAAGTCAATTAAACCAAAATGTAAAATACACCTCGTCTTTGTTTTGAACTCCATATACATGCTACTCAAATTTAGAACTGGGTGTGAATAATATCTGCTCTGAGTGGGATTAAATAAGGTATGTGTTGTATGTCATTTGGAACAATCACCCTTTGGTAGACATTCAACAAGTGCATGCAGGCTTACGCACTTCTGGCATGGTGTGCCTGAGTATATGCAGCCAATTGTTGGAATACACATGGTCTTGTGTGTGCAGGGTGTCAGCAAACAATTTCACATCAGCCTGTTTCTCCTTTACCCTTACGGGTGCCCAGTGCACTGCAAGTCAGGCTGGATGGAGAGCCACCAGTAGTTACGTGTCATCTATTCAAAATTTATTTGTGATAGGTCTTTGCAGATCACATTACATACTGGCACGAGACTCCAGTACGACTACATGTACAGCCACAAACTCAACAAAATACAACATGTAAATATATCTCTCTGAAAGCAACATCAAATGATCTGCATGTTAGGTTACTAGCCACAGGAAAGTGACCAAGGCCATGATTCAGCTTAAAAGGCAAAGGAAACTTTCTACAACAAGAAGTCAACAAGCACAGATGCTGAAGTCAGGTAGACTCCACTCCTCCCATCTCCCATGCTACAGGTGATGCAGGAAGTAGTTACAAAAAAATATGTATCTGATTCAACTAAGGGTGGAAGACCTAATGTGAATAAAAATATCAATACTATATAAATATAAATGTACGTGTGCGTTTTAAAACTAGCACAAATATCCATATCAATACATGTCTTCATGCAAACCCTTGATGATGGAAGATATATACTGCATAAATAACTTGAGACAAAGACAGAATTTTTTTTTGATATTTTCTACCCATCAGTTGTTAAACAAAGGCCAGTGTATACCTAATGCAAAAATGAACACGAATGTAAACTGTCATGTCACATCAGAAATCAGGGCTCCAAATTCAGGTGATATACATGTACGTTGTATATTTCTACTTCAGTGAATTGCGCGGCAAATGAGTTGTGAGGTGAAATTATTTGTTTCACTTTCACATTTACCTTTAGCATTAACCGGCAACTAATCAGAAGGTAAGGTTAAAAGTATGCATTTGTCTTAGGACTTCCAATCATCCTGGAAGAAGTTGGGCAGTTTTCTCTTTTTAAAAATACATGTACCGGTATTAGCATGCAGTTAACTATAAAATATCTTGTAAGGTAAACAAATAAATGTACAATGTACATGCTTGTACCAAAATGCAGTTAATAGACACAAGTGAATGTGGAAGCAAGTCCCCTTCTTTGAATTATGGCGTCCTGTGCAGCCTGCTGATGTTAAACATGGAGGAAAATGTGCTGATTTTACGTAATGCCTGAGCTGCAGGCAAGGGTATTTTCAGTGTTCATTCCCCAGTCGATTTTAAACATTAGTTTAAGACCAACCAAGTACATGTAGTTATTCCCATTCGTAACTACAGTTTTAGTCAGAGAGTCAAAAGAAGTCAGTACGTAATAAATTGCTGAGAATTTTGTCCAAGAATTTTACTTTCATTTTCCCAAACACCTCCTGTCCAATTTATGGTGTCCAAAAGAATCTCCTCATATGCATTTGCCGTGCACGCTTGGCAGGTTCTGCGTGCTGCGATGCACACATATTCTTGACCAATGAGCCCTGAGCTCGAGGACACTATATACTTTCTAAGCAATGGAGGGTCATTTGGTCAGAACTGAACTTGCTGGTTCGCAAGTGACTAGGAAATGCACGCGTGAGGTGTCGGTCGCATCACTGAATTTTACACTCTTGACCAATGCGGCTATTTTCAACCGATAAGAGGGTGCTTCTGCTCGAGAGATAGAAATGGATTATTGTCTCGTATCTGGGAGCCAGTGTGTTTTTATGCAGCAGGCATTATCAAATCACAGTTGGCATTATCAAATGTTAATACGCAGTCATGTTACACATTGTTAAATCGGGAAAATATCAATGATACTGTATATACCATTTGATTACAGTTAATACCTCCGAGATGCAGCTTAACCTCAATGTAAGACCATTTCAGGTACTAAGTTAATGTATGAAGTAATGTACAGTATTATGCAGGGTTCTAGCCAGCAAAGTTTAAATGAAAAAAAAGATTTAGTTCATGAACATTACAGCCATGAGCATTTTCAATGCAGTGCTCAATACATTCTATTTTCCATCGACAGAATATTGTTAAGGATTATTGCCAAAGTTTTGTACATGTACGCATTTGCAATTCAGTAAAGAGACAAACTATTTCAAAAACAAACTATTTCCCTACCTCATTGGCCATAATGCACACTGGGTACAATCTCAATAAGGCTGTCTAGGGTCTCATAGAGGCAGAGGTAGTCCAGGCTTGGGCAGTTGGGGGTTCAGCCTCCGTCGGCAGAATGCTTCACATCACTTATGTCAGCGGGAGCCTCTTTCAAGATGCTACCAAAACAAAACAAAAAAATTCAAATGTCAGAAACTGTCAATTATAGAAATACTCCAACATCAAAGTGCAAGACATACTAAACATGTCTTGATTGTGAAAGAACCTTTCCTCTTGCTGCAAAGCTTTCAACATTTAGGATTTTACCATCTCATTACTGTATACATTCAAGCACAGTACACTGTAAAAACTCTCCTGAGTAATCCTGGATTCATAATTAGACTGTCACTGCGCATGCATGTAGTCCATTGAAGTTTAGTTTCAAGCTATCTTCACTTATATTTGTTCACTTGGCAGTTCAGTTTGGTGGCTCAAAGGTGGCAGTATTGCCCCCAAAACTTCAAAGATACAATGTACAAGGGCAGTTCCAGGGTGTCAGACGTACATTTTGGACACTTCGACAGTGTGTGTAATTATACTTATAATCCTGAAGCAGATTTTGATTTTGATAAAAGACATCAGCTAGTTGGTACATTCATTTAATAACAAAA